GTCTCAGCTGGTCAACATCTAGCCCAGCTTCATAATGGTGCACCTGGGAGGCAGTGACTTATGACCCAAATGCTTGGGTTCTTGTTACCCACATGGAAGAAGGGGTAAAGATCCTGACTCCTGGCTTTGGCCTGGCCTATATCATTTTGTTGTCACCATTTGGGGTCAGAGGATTCTCATTCTCTCTCTCTCTCTCTCTCTCTCTCTCTCTCTCTCTCTCTCTCTTTCTCCAAGTATATACATATATCTGAGAAAAAGAAAAGCAATCTTTAGAAAACATACAAACATCTTTGTAGGTGAAATGTTTCCAAGTGAAAAACTGGCTGCAAACATTGTTTATTGAAAAAAGAAGCTTTTTCTAAGTTGCTAAAAGTTAAATCAATCATAGATAAAAGTCTGTTAAGATCTGTGTTTGTTAGCAACTTGGGCTCCAGATATCACGCTTTAAGTGCATGCCCAGGTGTCTCAAATTCGTTTATGATGTTTGTTTCTATTGATATTGTGGATATTCTGTTTATAGATTATCTTCCATCTGTGTTAAGAAATAATATCCAAATTTTTTAAAGCTGTTTAACTTCCTACTTACCAATTCATGACTTTGTAGGCAGCTAACATTTTCAGTGATAAACAGCAGAGTCCAACTGACTTGTTTCTTCTCACTTTCCCAATTGAGATAAAATACCAATCTAGCAGCCTCGACATTTTAAAATATATACAAAAATTTGCATCGAGTTTATTATATCTGAAAATTAGACTATCAAAAACAAATATTTTAAATGTTTCCTTGACCATTCTCATCTTCCCCATTCATACCTCATTCTTCATTTATAAATTTTTTTTTTTTATAAATAGAGGCTACCATTCATTTGTAGGTCCCATTGTTTTTAACTTATTTTGTCCTATTAGTGAGACAAGACTGGGTGATTTTACCCCAACCCTAACTTTGACAATATCTTAGAAGATTTTTGCTGCCCCAAATTTTCAATAATGGTTGGTGAACAGGACAATAGACATGTAATTGAATTTTACCTCTGAAGTGTAAATTGCAGAGTTGAGATAAGAATTGGAGTTTTCAGCACTATTCCATCAAGAAATTACTAACTACAATATTAAAATAATGGGAACATTTATTAAGGCATTAGAAACAAATGTGTGATAAGATCAAGGGAGATATTTGAAGTTAAGATAATTTTGCATCAATCTATAATCCTCCCATAGAATGTTTTAAATCAATTTGTTAGATACAATAATTATAATAATTATAAAATTATTTTAAATAGTGATTAGAAACCACTGCTTTAGTAGACTACTATTACTGTCACTAGGAAAAGTATATGAAGCCGGCGCCGCGGCTCAATAGGCTAATCCTCCACCTTGCGGCGCCGGCACACCGGGTTCTAGTCCCGGTCGGGGCGCCGGATTCTGTCCCGGTTGCCCCTCTTCCAGGCCAGCTCTCTGCTATGGCCAGGGAGTGCAGTGGAGGATGGCCCAGGTGCTTGGGCCCTGCACCCCATGGGAGACCAGGAAAAGCACCTGGCTCCTGGCTCCTGCCAGGATCAGCGCGGTGCGCCGGCTGCAGCGGCGGCCATTGGAGGGTGAACCAACGGCAAAGGAAGACCTTTCTCTCTCTGTCTCTCTCTCTCACTGTCCACTCTGCCTGTCAAAAAAAAAAAAAAAAAAAAAAAAAGAAAAGTATATGAGATACATTGGGTGGATGTGCCCTAGCTAATGTGCCCATCTAATGAGAATTCTAAAATATTACACTAATAAAGCATTATCAAAATAGATATAAAAATGAGTTAACTACCATTTCAGATGGAGATAAATTATTTTTAGGGAGCTAATAACACGTCCTCAGAATTTTGTCCTCAGATTTTCGCTTGAATACTGGTTCATTCATTTGTTTTACATTTTAAAAATGTATTTCTTTAGAGTAATTTAACTGACTTCCATTAGATGAAACATAAGAATCCATTTGTGTGTTGTTAATTTTCTGAAATAAAATCATTTTAAAATCCAGATGGCAAATACATTTGAGCACTAAATTTCACAATACTGTTGCAATAAATTTAAATTTACATAATGCTAAATTATGTTTATAGAAAGAACACCATACTCCATTACAATTTGGAACATTTTTAATACTACAAAAATTACTTGAATATTTAAAAACATGTAAATGGTATACCAAAGACATAAATCTAAATCAGTAAGAAATGTGATTGACATACTTTATTTTATAAACTTATACAAAAAGGTTACTTCTAATGTTTGTACTTTTATTCTCAGAAAAGTTCATGTATTAAAGTGATCACCAAAAAAGAGATTAATCACCTCACAATTTTACTCTCATATTGCATTCAAACTGGAGTCATTTCTAAAAAAAATGTGAAACTCAGTTTCAAAAATTAAACAATAACAGTTATTCAATTGTAGGGAATATCCAGCGTAGATTTGATTTAGCAAATTGAAGTGGGCGTCTTTTTCCAAGCATCCATTAATGCTAATAAGCAAAGAAACACAGAGTACTGGAGCTCCACTAATCAGGAGTTGTCAATGGTGGGTCAAAAGAACTAAGTGATGGAGGGGAATTTTATACACTTAGTAATAAGTAGGAGATTATTATGTATGATTTTATCTTAATTGGTTTTGAGAATTAATTGGATGGTAACAAAAGCTGGTAGAAAGCTTTTCATTTGAGTAGAACAATTAACCACCCCCCCCTCCCAAAGGCTTGGAGTTGATGATAACCACTCAGTTGGATTAAGTCCTAGCTATAACATTGAGAGATTTATTATTTATCTGAAAAATGAGTTAATGTTAATGACTAATGTATATTACTTAGCTGGGGACACTTGGACTTCTCAAAGCATGCTTCTTTGGAAAAGGTCAAGTTTGTGTAAAATTCATACAATAGGAAGCAATTTCCATATTTTCCCAGTGAAATCAAAATTGGAGAATAATGATGAAAATAATAGGACACTGTATTTATTACACTTTTGTCTAAAAGTAAACCATTTTGTCATCTATATGATATGCTATCCTTATTAGAAATAAGAATTATCGAAACAAAATAAATTCTGTCATTAGAGCCAACATGAATGAACCTGAAGAAAATTATGTTAAGTGAAATGATCTAGGTACAGAAAAACTAATACTGTGTGCTCTCACTCTTTGTGGTATTAAAAAGTAGAATTCAAAGATGTGGAGAATAGAATGGTGGAGGCAATAGCAATATGCGGGGAAATAATAGTGAAATATAAAAATTTTCAATTACACAGGACGGATAAGTTCAAGAGATCTGTTGTACAAGATGGCAACTATAATTAATAATCATACATCATGTACTTAAACATTACTATGAGGTCAGATTTTAAATGTTCTCACCACAAAAAGATAAGTATGTTAGGTGATACCTATTTTAATTATGTTAATTTACCCATTTCTATAATGCATTCATATTTTTAAATGAGGACATTTTTGTCAATTAAAAATAAATGAGAGGCCGGCACCATGGCTCACTAGGCTAATCCGCCGCCTAGCGGCGCCGGCACACCGGGTTCTAGTCCCGGTCGGGGCGCCGGATTCTGTCCCGGTTGCCCCTCTTCCAGGCCAGCTCTCTGCTGTGGCCCGGGAGTGCAGTGGAGGATGGCCCAGGTGCTTGGGCCCTGCACCCCATGGGAGACCAGGAAAAGCACCTGGCTCCTGGCTCCTGGCTCCTGCCATCAGATCAGCGTGGTGCGCCGGCCGCAGCGCGCCGGCCGCGGCGGCCATTGGAGGGTGAACCAACGGCAAAAGGAAGACCTTTCTCTCTGTCTCTCTCTCTCACTGTCCACTCTGCCTGTCAAATAAATAAATAAATAAATAAATAAATAAAAAATAAATGAGAGTATAAGAAAATATCCATGAATTTAGGCCATTATAAAATAAAATGATGCTAGTTTTTTTTTTTAAATGTTGGGAGGAAGCACCTGGATCCTGGCTTCAGATCGGTGCAGCACCCCAGCTTTAGCAGTCATTTGGGGGGTGAACCAGTGGAAGGAAGACCTTTCTCTCTTCTCTCTCTCACTAACTCTGCCTGTCAAAAAAAATGTCAAATTATTTTTAATGTAGTAGTTAAAACTAAGAAATAAGGTTAAGCATCTGCATGTGGAGCCCACATCCCATATAGGTGCTGGTTCATGTTCCGGCTGCTCTTCTTCCAATCCAGCTCTCTGCTATGGCCTGGGAAAGCAGTTGAAGATGGCCCAAGTCCTGAGCGCTTGTACCCACATGGGAGACAGGAAGAAGTTCCTGGCTTCTTGCTTTGGATAGGCTGAGCTCTGGCTGTTGAAGCCATTTGAGGAATGAACCAGCAGATGGAAGACCTCTCTTACTCTATCTCTCCCTCTCTCTTTCTGTACCTCTGTTTCTCAAATAAATAAATAAATCTAAAAAAGGGGGGGGGCTGCATTGTGAAATAGTAGGTTTAGCCACTGTTTGCAAGGTCTGCTGTTTTGAATCTTGGCTGCTCCACTTCTCATCTAGCTCCCTGCTCCTGTGCCTGGGAAGGCAGCTGAGGATGGTCCAAGTATTTGGGCCCCTGCTACCCACGTGGGAGACCCAGATGGAGCTTCTGGCTTCAGCATGGCCCAGCCCTGGCTGTTGAGTCCACTTGGAGAATGAATCAGCAGATAGGTAGAAGACTTCTCTTTCTGTCTCCCCACACACATACTATGTAGTTCTATCTTTCAAATAAATAAATCAATTTAAGCGACTACTTTCTTCAAAAAACTAAGAAATATGAATTTTATTTGTGTAATTTGTTATTGGTAAAACATTTTGAGATGGATTTTAGTTTATCAATGACTAAAGGGATTGGTTCATTAACAATAAAATTTACATGAACTAATAATCCATCTCTACAATCCTAAAATGTGGAGAAAATATTTATAGATATAGAATAATACTAAGTCACAAGTGACAAACATTTTTTCAGTACTGATGAAATGATATATATTTCTATTTTTATCCTTAGTTGATTAATTCAACTGGAGTCATTTAAGTCTTAGCTTTTATCAACTAATTCCTTAGCATATATTATAAACTAATTCCTTATCATATATTACAAATTCAATTTGCCTGCATTTTATCTTCATGATGTTTAAAAATGTGTGGCAATGTTTTTGTATGTCATCTGATTGTTAAGGTGATTATTTAGAATAAATGTCAAATGCTCTGAGCACTTACATGAATGAAATGAAAATATTAGTGTAGCTTGTTTTTTTTGTTTTTTTGTTTGTTTGTTTGTTTGTTTTTTACAGGCAGAGTGGACAGTGAGAGAGAGAGACAGAGAGAAAGGTCTTACTTTGCCATTGGTTCACCCTCCAATGGCTGCCGTGGCTGGCGTACCGCACTCACCTGAAGGCAGGAGCCAGGTGCTTCTCCTGGTCTCCCATGGGGTGCAGGGCTCAAGCACTTGGGCCATCCTCCACTGCACTCCCTGGCCACAACAGAGGGCTGGCCTGGAAGAGGGGCAACCGGGACAGAATCCGGCGCCCCAACCAGGACTGGAACCCAGTATGCCGGCACCACTAGGAGGAGGATTAGCCTATTGAGCCGCGGCGCCGGCTGTAGCTTGTTTTTATTACTCAATGTGTAGTCTGTTTCCTATAAATACATGGAATACAAAAGTCAAGATAGTTTTCAAGTAAAAAGTATTTGCTTTAAGTTGAATATAAATTTTTCCCTTTTAAAATAGGCTTGCATGGAGTGGTCAGCTAGCCTAGTGGTTGAGACCCTTTGAGACCATGACATTTTTATTTGAGTACCTCTGGTTTGATTTTCCACTGCAGCTCTTGCCTCCAGCTTCTTGCTACTGCAGACGATGGTAGGCAACAATGATGAATCAAGTAATTGGATTCCTACCTGTCACGTGGGAGACATGATTTGAGTTCCTAGCTCCCTTCTTCAGTCGGTCCAGTCCTGGCCATTGTGGGAATTTAGAAATGAACTAAAAGGTGAGAATTTTGTGTCTGTATATATCTGTCTCTCAAATACATAAGTAAAATATTTTTAAACTAGATTTGCACAATTTTATTTTATATAAGTTATCATTCCTCAATTGCCAGATTTTATCTTAATTTATCTTTAAAAATGGAATCCAGTGGAATTTGAGTACATGTAGGCAGATGAAAATAATGCATCAAGAGAATGACTGAGCAGAGTAAAATAGCAGAAAGTATATTATCTCACCAAGAAATGCTGGATTTTGTGTTTTGAACGCTGTTCCACATTGGTAAGCTTTTTGTATTCACCAAGAGTGTTTGTTTTCAGATTTTCATTGTCATTCAGCAGTCTTTGACAAGCTGTTTGTGGCAAAGGAAATTTAAAACTACTTTGAAATTCTCTGAGCAACTCTCAGATACCATCAAAATATACTGCTATAGTATCAAGAAATGTTGAAGAATTATGCCTTTAAAGTTGTGATAAGAAACATAGCATGCTTCTTTCTTGCTTTCATTAGCAAGCAGAGTTCTGTAACACCTGCCTTTAGGCTAGGCAGTTCCATAGATATTTCTCATACAACAGCTTTCTGCAAAAGTTTTAGTTGAGAAAAAGACTTAACTTTTCTCACCCTAAGGAGGCCACATGGTGTAAGCACGAAAAGGTAGTATGCAAAAGCAGAGTTATGTTTGTCACTAACCAGCAAGGCATAGAGATGCCCAGCATTCTGTCTTTATATCCAGGAAATTACTACTAGTGACATTACCAGTATCCCACTTAGTACCTAAAGTACAAGAGTTGGCCACGCCTCCAATTACTTTTGTTCAACTCTTTTTAACATAAAGAATATAACCAAAATTGAGTTATACTACTCATAGCACAATTTTTATCTCAGTTAAATATTCTGTAGAAAGGAACAGGTTATAGGTGGCCAATAGGTCAGCAAAGAAAGGAGTAGATGAAGGACAAAAAAGTGTGGGATGAAAGAAGCAGATGGGCATTTTATTTTTGTTTGTCATTAATATAGGTTTATTTCTTTATAGAAAAGAGTTGACATTCATTTTGGGGAGTCTTGGAAATTCATAGTGGTTTATGCAGCTACTTCATGATGTCCTCAATTGCTCAGGTACCGCAAACAAAGCACTCTTCTTTATAGACATGATCCTGTGATCCTATTCCAGTGTTCTTCCTGTTAATGACACCACCATACAACTACATTTAAAGTCCAAATTGTCCCTTCAATTCACGTGTGTAATCCATCACTATGCTGTGATTGTTTCATCTCCTAACAATGTCAAAACTATCTGCTTTTACAATTTTGAACCACTATATCCTCTTTACTGGAGACTATAATAGCCTCTTAAGTGGCCTACTTATTTTCAATTTGCTTTCTCTAGCAAGACTGTTTTTGTTCCATGGTCATCAAGTTATACTTAAAATGCATGCTAGTCATAACACTGCACCACAATGCTGAAGAAAATCCTTCTATAACTTCCCACTACTCTACATAAAACTAAATATTGAACACAGTTCTACCTACTAGAATTTTCTGAAATAATTGAAATGAAATGGTCTCAGAGGTTTCTAACATGATAGCTGTTCTTATTGGGTCATGGGCCCTTGAAATATGATTAGTTCAACTAACAAAAGGAGTCCTTAATTTTATTTCACTTTAATTATTTTAAGTTTAAATTTAAATAGCCATGCTGGCTAGTAGATGGGCAAAGCTCTCAAAAATATGGCCCATTTGACTCCACATTTTCTGTTCTCTACCTGTTCTCCAGTGTCTTTTTTATTTCCAGTCCCCTGCCCTCTTCTCACTGGTTCACTACTCTTCAGTTTCATGAGTTCATTGAACTCCCTGCTACTAAAATTTTCCCATATTCCATGCTTTCCTACTGAAGAACCTTTCTCACCCCTTTTCTCTCCTAATTAATAGCCACCCAGCTTTCAAAGGATCCAAGAATGAAAATAATTTCCTCTGGATGCCTTCCCTGACCACCTGATGGTTCAAACTTCATATGTCAGTCTCGTTATTGTCTATCACTTCTTCATTGTTCCTCCCAAAAGTACAGTGTTTCACATTTATTTTTGTGGTAAATTGTTATTTAGAAGTTACTGGTGTTTAGCATATAGCATATAATAAGTATTGCATACACATTAATTACATGAATAATTGATTCTTTATTGTTTTCCGGCTTGGTAGCTGGATTTGATTTTGGAGTATCTTCAGCAAATCTTTCTGTAAATATTAAGCAAGAAAATAGTAACAAAAGAAAGTTTATCCAATTCCCACCCCTTGTCCAACCAACAAGGAAATGAACCATTAGGCTTTTCTTGGTTTTTAGTGATAGGGTAATCATCCACTAACACTTGAGCTATCAGCTAAAATAGTTATTACAATCCAGTTTATCCTTAACAGCCTAAACTACATTCAGCCTAACAAATTAGTGATGAGGAAAAAAAAAAAGTTCATAACTTTCATCAGCCACCTGAGGTGCCCAAATTTCTCTGTTCTTAATATCTTAATCCCCTTTCAAGTCATTTGTTCCTGTAACTAGCATTTTAATCTTCTTGTGGGCTCCTGCTTGTCCCCATTTCACACATGTTATCAGTACACTCTTCTGCAGCTTAATGCCTTCAAAGAGCCTTGTATAGTTTTTACTGTAACTTAGATTCTTAAGCTCTTTTCCAAGGTCTTTAAGTTTTAATCCTTTTTCTTCATGGTGACAGGCTCAATCCTAATTCTATGAATATATCTTGCCCTTCTGAGGGGACAGGTTTATAGGGCAATTCGTACATTTATTTAGCTTGCCTACCACACGAAGACAAAGAAGTCATCTCTCAGAATTCTCTGAAGGGTATGTAATACTGAACAATACCCCCTACCTTTATGCGTCTGTCTACACTAATTGGTTCAGTAATCTACTAATTATAACTCCTTAAAGCCTTAAAGACTTTGTAATTCATTTCACACCAATTATCTTTAATCGACTGACATGTATGTGACAATATGCAGGAATGTTTCTCTTTGACTCCTCTCAATGTATGGATTTCAAAGCACAGACATATTGAGACTCAGATAATATCATTGCCACTATTTAAAATTAGTTTTAATTACTTTTTATTTATTTATCTTCATTTTTATTTGAAATACAAAAGAGACAGAGACAGACAGAAAGAGGATCTTCCATCTGCTGGCTGGTTCATTCCCCAGTTGCCTGCAACAGCTAGGGATGCGTCTGGCCAAAGCCAGAGGCTGTGAACTCAATTCAAGTCTCCCACATGAGTGAAACTGATTCAAGTACTTCAGCATCACCAGCTAACTCCCATAGTACACAATAGCAGGAAGCTGGTCACAGAAGCAGAGTCAGAACTCAACTTAGACATTCTTATACGGTATGCTACTATGGAACCAAATGCTCACCTAAATTGTATTTATTTGAGAGGCAGAGAGACAGAGAGAGATCTCACTCACTTGTTCACCATTCAAATGCCTGCAATTGCCCCTGACTGGGCCTGAATCCGGCAGCCAAGAACTTTCTGTCTCCCATGTGGGTGGCAGGAACCCAATTACTAAGCTATTACTTATGCCTCCCAGGATCTTCATTAGCATAAGATAGATTCAAGAATGGTTCTGGATGATGGATATTGGATTTAGGCACTTCTGTATGAGAGCTGGACATTTTAATGTCTAGCTATCCAAATGCACTTCCTTATCAAACATTTGGAACTCCATTCCATTACATCAAAAGATAATTATACTTACTCAATGCTTATTAATATCAAATAAATTGAGGAAGTTCAATTTCATAGTAATAGGACATTCAGTAAGTATTAGATTCTTTTCCTTCCTATTCCTTCTTAAGGCTGACATTTGGCAAGGCCTTCCCTCCAGGCTCTCTTGAGGATTTCTACCCAGGCTCAGACCCACCAGACCTAGCTGAAAACAATGATAAGTTAGTCTTTTAGTGTCTTCAGCCCACCTACTCTTATCATCTAGAATTGCTTTTGTTGACTAAGTTTAAGTTTACAGCATAACTGGACAACTGGACGTAAAACAATAATTAGCCTATGGGGTTGAATAGGTAGTTGATAAAGTTACTCCACATTACTTTATCATTCCAAATCTCAGTTGCCACTAGGCACTAACATCTATATGAACATAACCATAAATGACTCCTTCTAGTTTTTATCCTAATCTATCTTTAAACAGTGAATGTATTATATCATCTTAGAACTATTTCCTTATGCATCTGAAAGGCAGAGTTACACAGAGAGAGAGAGAGATCTTCCATCTGCTGGTTCACTCTCCAAATGGCCACAATGGCCAGAGCTGGTCTTATCTAAAACAAAGAACCAGCAGCTTCCTCCAGGTTTTTCATGTGGGTTCAGGGTACAAACATTTGTACCATCCTCTGCTGCCTTCCCAGGGACAATAGCAGGGAGCTGGATTAGAAGTGGAGCAGCCTGCACTTACTATGCCACAACACTGCCCCCAGTGATTTTATTTTTAATGCATGAGTGGCTTGGACCTTATTCCTACCCTTCATTTATTCCCAGTCTTGAGTGCCACTTGAACTTCTTCCACTCTATTACACCTCTCTGGATAAAAGCACAGGATGGACAGCACCTGTATTGACTCTTGTGCTCTAGGTTTTCTGGCTGTCATTGCAGAGACCAGCCACTTACCTGGTTAACAATTTGCTTCTTTCAGTTTTGCTCTTTCCTCCTTAGTTGTAAAGGTTTATATGTCTGAGCTCATTGTCTGTCTTTTGATCCTAAAAGTATCCTGTAAGATGAAATCCTTTATGCAAACAGCTAAGAGAAATTAGGAGAAACTAGGTTACAGTTGAGAAATTCTGAGAAATAGTTGTTAATTAGCAAATTATCACCATCAACCATTATAGATGAAATAATAATAGAACAAAAGAGTTTTAGCAATATTTCTTGGTATTTCACTTTTAAAACTAAAGAAAGAGGTTAACTTCATAACAGATATTAAAAAAAACTAAAACTTCATTACTCCCCTTCCCACATATACCACCATTCCCCTTTCAACCCCATGCCTAAAACCCCCTGCCTAACACACACTCTTGGTTTACCAATCCTCCAGGGTCAATGGCAAAATTTCTATATTCTGTGTTAACCTAATGACATTTGAACAGCAGCTGACCTGGAAAATCTGGAGAACACAGTCCTCTAAGCCTAAGAGCTTTTTCAGGTAAAATGTCCTCTATACTGGCAGACAAAACATATTTAATATCAATTGTCTATCATATTGGCTTCCCGCAGGATCCTTGAAGTGCTAAGGGAATAGTTCAAAATGTAAGATGGAAGTTCCCACTTAAGACTATGTTCACTCAGTTTCTCCTGGTCTATGTTTAAATTCTTGATCCATAAAGCAATATTTATAAAATCTGCTCCATCTCCCATCTATGTTCACATGGATTATCCTTTAGACCATCAATTTCATAGAAAAGGAATTCTCTCCTTGTAGTTTCTAATAATTGCCTGAGGTGCTTGACCTAAATAAAGCCTATGGAAGTTTTCAGTCATCTCAGGACTAGAAAAATCAATGCTAATGGTAGTCTGTCTGTAGTTAGTTTGGCCAGTTTTCACAAAAATCTCAAAGGAACCATAATACACTTATGTATAGGCCAATTTTCATTTCAATAATAACAACATAGTAAATAATCCAAATACAGATTTACTATTCATTATACAAATGGTCAAACAATCAAGTTAGAAAAAATACACCTAAGAATGTATGGTAAAAGATATTTTACTCTATATCGCTTTCTCATTGAAGATTAAATTACAGGGTCCTAAGGAAAAAGGATTTTTTGCACAAAGTCTATTCTCACCATTTTAGAAATAAATAAATAAATAACTTAATACTAGTTATTATTGAACGTAAATACTGTGCATATTCTCATAAATTCTCCTTCACTTTTGGATAATCAACTGTGATTTAAAAAAAAGCAAAGGTTTTCAAACAAAAACATAAGCATTTTTAGTATTTGAATCCAGTTGGATTTCTTTCTCTATGAATGTATTTTTGCCTCATATTCAGATTGTACCACATGATTCATCATTGCTTTTTTTCCCCCATTACCTATGTAGAATCTTCAAAAACTTCATGGGCAATGTGAATTATGAAAGAAACAATTCATGAATTTCAAAATTTCTTTGCACCAAAGCAAGCATATTTTAATTACATTACCATGAACTTTTAAAGAAATCCTCATGTTCTCAGAAAAATAAATAAATAAAATAAAGCCTGTTATTAGCAACATAAAATCATCCTATGACTATTTAGATTATTTATTATTTATTCTTTTTTTTTAAAGATTTATTTTCTTTATCTGAAAGACTAAGGTACAGAGAGAAGTAGAGCCAGAGAAAAAGAGGTCTTCCAACTGCTGGTTTACTGCCCAGATGCAATTGCCAGAGCTAAGCTGTTTTGAAGCCAGGATCCATGATCTTCTTCTGAGTCTCCTTTGTGGGTGCAAGGGCCCAAGGACTTGGGTCGTCTTCTACTGCTTTCCCAGGCCATAGCAGAGAGCTGGATCAAAAGTGGAGCAGCCAGGACTCTCATCAGCACCCATATGGAATGCCGGTGCTGAAGACTGGGGCTTTAACCCGCTGTACCACAGTACCAGCCCCTTATTATTTATTCTGTACCATAAAAATGATGCAGTGAAATTCTGTAATTCTGCATAAAAGTTATTTCAAATTATTAACTGAGTCTTTTAAGTAGATTCCTAGAAGTCAGTTTACTGAATCAAATTGTATTAATATTTTCATAATTATTAATACATAATGACAAACTATACACTAGAAAGCTTCTTCCAATTTTTTAAAAGACTTATTATTTATTTGAAAGGCATAGTAACAGAGAGGCAGAGGCAGAGAGAGAGAGAGAGAGAGTCTTCTATCCACTGGTCCACTTCCAATTGGTCGCGACAGCCAGAGCTGCCCAGATATGAAGCTAGGAGCCAGGAGCTTCTTCCAGGTCTCTCACGTGGGTTCAGAGGCCCAAGAAGTTGGGACATCTTCTACTGCTTTCCCAGGCCATAGCAGAGAGCTAGATCAGAAGTGGAATAGCCAGGACTTGAATCAGCCCCCACGTGGGATGCCAACACTTCAGGCAGCAGCTTTACCAGCCATGCCACAGCACTGGCCCCACTTCTACCAATTTAAACTTTTATCATAATTGGTTTAGAATGAATGATTCAGTAAACAACTTTTAGCATTTCGTAAAAAAAAAATCTTGCCCATATAAAATACTAAAAAGAAATATTTCTTTTAATTTACATACTTATTTTTATTGATGATAATTATACATAGTTATAGACTACAATGTCACATTTCTATATATGTATACAATACACACTGCTTAAAACAGGGTAACCAACATTTCTGCTTCTTTAGCAATGCTTTATGATTTCGGGCTTGAAGCTGCTTTATATACTAGGTTACTGTGAATTACAATCTCCCCACTATACTGTGTAACACTAGAGACTTTTTCCTTTGATCTAACTGACTCAGAATGCATTATTCTTTTTATAAAATTATTTCTTTGAGAAGCAGAGACTGGTAGACAAGGGGGGCTCCCATCCTCCAGTTCATTCCCCAACAGCAGCCAGGAGGCCAAACCTAGAAGTCAGAAGTAATTCAATTCAGATCTCCTACATGTGTGGCAGGAACCTGCTTTCTTGAGCCCCCACTGCTATCTTCCAGGGTCTCCATTATTAGAAAACTGGAATCAGGAGATGGATTCAGGAATCTAACCCAGACACTCTGCGGTATGATGCATGTATCTAGCTTCTTAACTGCAAGGCCAAATACCTGGCCCGATTTTTATAATTCTTGTTAAAAATTAGATATTCCAATTTCTTTTTCTTTAGATTTATTTATTTATTTTAAAGTCAGAATTATACAGAGAGAGAAAGAGAGGCAGAGAGAGAGAGAGGGAGAGAGAGAGAGAGAGAGAGAGAGAGAGAAAGAGAGGTCTTACAACCGTTGGTTCACTCCCCAGATGACACAATGGCTGGAGCTGCATCAATCCAAAGACAGGAGCCAGGAGCTTTCTCCAGCCCCCCCATATGGGTGCAGGGACCCAAGCACTTGGGCCATCTTCTACTGCTTTCCCAGGCCATAGCAGAGAGCTGGATTAGAAGTGGAGCAACCGGGACTCGAACCGACACCCATACAGGATGTCTGCTTTGCAGGCTGTGGCTTTACCTGCTAGAGCACAGTGCCGGCCCCTTACTACTTCTATGCACTTTATCTTTACTAATTGCTAAGATCATCTGCACATATTTGTTGGAAAACTTTTCTACTTGACTTGCATGAATCATATATCACTATTTATCCATGTTTCCATTAATCTTCTATTCAGGATATTGCTCTAGTTTGAACAAATTTTGTTTCTCAAATTATGCACATTTTATATGTCAGAATTACAAATGAATGCTAATAAAGAAGGTAGAGTCTTTATTCAATTATGGTGTATGAAGGGGGAACTTTTGGCAGGTAACTGGTTTGGATGAGGGTGCTAGGGCAGTACTTCCATAATCAAATCATGTTAGCTTTATATGGAAAGATTACAACAAGGAACATGATCCCCCTCTCTAGTGCTTCTTGGCTCACTACAGGATTGTTCCTTGATAAGCATTCTGCTATTGACACCTCTCATCAGACACTAGACCACAAGGGACATCTGATGTAAGCAATAAACCTTCATTCTTCATAGTAGCTTATTTCAAGTATTTGAGTTTTAGTGAAGGAAAGTTAAATAGTATAAAAATCATGTCTAGTCAACCATAATTGACAAAAATTCTGTTTCCTAGTAAGTCATAAGGTTTAGGTAGAAATATTTGAAATAGTATGTGTTTCTTCCATTGCTTATCTTTTTTTAAATTTATTTGACAGGTAGAGTTATAGATAGTGAGAGAGAGACAGAGAGAAAGCTCTTCCTTCCGTTGGTTCACTCCCCAAATGGCTGCCACAGCCGGCTATGTGCCAATCCAAAGCCAGGAGCCAGGTGCTTCTTCCTGGTCTCCCATAAGGGTGCAGGAGCCCAAGCACTTGGGTCATCCTCCACTGCCCTCCTGGGTCACAGCAGAGAGCTGGACTGGAAGAGGAACAACCAGCACTAGAACCATTGCTCATATGGGATGCTGGTGCTGCAGGTGGAGGATTAACCAAGTGAGTGCCGGCCCCCTCCATTGCTTATCAAGAGAGAAAGAGAGAGAGAGAGAGAGAGAGAGAGAGAGAGCACGCTCCCAATCACATCACAACTAATCACAGCCTGGGAACTAAGTCCAGATCTTCCACGTGGGAGGCAGGTACCCAAATACTTGAGTCATCACCAGTTGCTTTCTAGGGTGTACATTAGTAGGAAATTCCAACTAGAGCCAAGACTCAAAGCCAAACATTCCAAAATGGATGTGATCATCCCAAGCAGTATCTTAACAGTGCATCAAATGCCTTCCAAGATGGCTGTTTTTTTTTTAACAGATTCATTATTAATTTTTCATTTGTTGTAAATTGAGATTGGTATGTATATCCAAATTGACATTGTTTATCAAATACCTAATATCAGATAATATTTGTCTAGTAATTTATACTTTCTCTATTGATTCTATAGTCTATCATATGTATACAAGGTGCTCCAATAGCCAGTCTCTTGATTCTTATACCAATATGAGGATATTATGGTATTTTGATTTTAAACTCATTTTGATATGAACAAAAAAGATGAAAACAAAGGAAATGTTAATAGATACATCCATTTATCTCAGTGGCTTACA